TAGAAACTTCTTTCTTGTTCGCCAACATTTAAGATTTGAAAATTGTGAATTCTAACCACATAAGTGAAGAGGAACTAAAGAGCCACTTGATGAGGGTGAAAGAACATTCAAAACATGAAGATCATGGCATCTGGTCCCATCACTTCATGGGAAATAGATGGGGAGACAGTGGAAACAGTGTCAGACTTTATTTTTCTGGGCTCCAAAATCACTGCAGATGGTGACTGTAGCCATAAAATTAAAAGACGCTTACTCCTTGGAAGGAAAGTTATGACCAACCTAGATAGCATATTAAAAAGCAGAGACATTACTTTGCCAACAAAGGTCTGTCTAGTCAAGGCTATGGTTTTTTCCAGTGGTCATGTATGGATGTGAGAGTTGGACTGTGAAGAAAGCTGAGTGCCAAAGAATTGATGCTTTTGAACTGTGATGTTGGAGAAGACTCATGAGAGTCCCTTGGACTGCAAGGAGATCCAACCAGTCCATCCTAAAGGAGATCAGTCCTGGGTGTTCACTGGAAGGACTGATGCTGAAGCTGAAACTCCAATACTTTGGCCACCTCATGTGAAGAGGTGACTCACTGGAAAAGACCCTGATGCTGGGAAGGATTGGGGGCAGGAGGAGAAGGAGACGACAGAGGATGAGATGGTTGGATGGCATCACCGACTTGACGGACATGAGTTTGAGTAGACTCTGGGAGTTGGTGATGGACAGGGAAACCTGGCGTGCTGCGATTCATGGGGTCACAAAGTCAGACACAACTGAGCAAGTGAACTGAACTGAAAATGAGTTCTTAAAAGGTGTAACTATAGAACTACAGATCTTGTCTGAGGAATGTTCATAACTGTAAGACACAGCGCAGAATGTAGAGTCAATGTCCCCAGAGTTTAAGTCCCGTTTCCTGACTTGAGACTAACTACTCAAACCTTTTAGAAGGTTTCCTTTCTTCCATTTTGACTGATGATTTACTTACTGGGAGGGAGACAAAATGTGATACATGAAATACACGGTACTGAAGGAATTTACAGTCCACTTGGTCAGGCAAAAGTCAGACTTACAAAAGATGTACAGGGCATCCCAGGTGGCTCAGTAGTAAAGAACTGTCTGCCAATGCAGGACATGCGGGTTCGGTCCCTGGGTCAGGAAGATCCCCTGGAGGAGGAAATGGCAACCCACTGGACAATGCCATGGACAGAGGAGCCTGGCGGGCTGCAGTCCACGGGGCTGCACAGAGTCAGACACGGCTGAGCGCCTGAGTATGAATGCAGGCACACACCAAGGACACTGAGCTGTGCTTAAGTGGGTAAAGTCAACACCCAGCCAACGGCCTGTTTCACAGTGCTCTGAGAACAGGGAAGAAAACGGCTCTCACAGGTAGAGGTAACAGGGAAGGCTTCCTGGAAGAGGCAGAATCTGAGTGAGAGCTTTGAGAATGGCTGAGAATGAGATGGACGGAGAGAAGTGGTTAGAGCAGGCCAAGCCAGACAGACGCAGAACAAGTCATAGCGAGGACATTCTGGTCAAGTTCTGGTCACATGCAGAGGTTGGTCTTGTTGGAAAAATTTCTGCATTGGATAGCAAAGCATAAGGCTTTCTGGTAAATGGTTATGGGCTTAAAAAGCTAGGCTAAGACATATGTCTTTATCTTGTGCATAATGGAAAGCTGGGGAAGGTTTCTGAGCAGAAAAGAGCATGGCCAAATAATATCATCTAGAAAGCCTGTAAGAATCAACCTTCGCTCGAGTGTTATGAGCCATGCTGCTGTGAAAAAAAAAAAAAAATCCCTTTCATTATCCTAATACTTAGTAATTCACTGAAGACCTACTTCAGAACTCCAAGGAAAACATTTTATGAATCAAAAGCTAAGTACAATATGTTAGCAATTAAATGAGATAACATAATAGCCCAGGCAGAACCACAGTCCTCCCCACCATGACTGCAAGCTGCTGCAGAAAGAAATGCTTCTATCATCTTCCAAGTGATCAAGCCATTTTGTTTTGATTTTCGGAAGGCAGGGAGAGAGGAAACAGGGAGGGGACGGAGGTCAAGAGAATTCAAAAGCTATCTGTTCTTTAATCAGAAGGAATTATTAAGGAGAATTCTAAAGGAGATTAGCTCAAAACAAAACCAGCCCCGGGATGGGTGTTAAGTTACTGCAACTCACTTCCACTCCAGAACAACAACCGAAGGTGTGTAGCTGGGAATGAGACTCCCACCAGCGCTGGACGAAGTTTCCGGTGTGTACCTCCCACTGCTACTTTATTTACTGCAGCTGGCCAACAGTTTATAGCCTGTTTCATGTATTAAAATTCAAATGTGGAAAACATTACCAGCATCCTCCTTGAATTATTTTTTGTTGTTGTTGTTGTTCGGGGGGAAGAAGGGTGCATTTTTTTTTTCTCTTCCCCTTCAACTTCCTTTTTATTGTGGAATGTATCAAATGGTCAAAGGCTAGCTTCAGACTGACTAAATTCAGAAACTATTTCCTTTGTTCTGATGCTTTTGTTTGAAAATTCATACCAGTTTGCACCAGGCAAGAAACGAGGGTGTGATCGCTTGCACACGCGTTGGGGCTGCGGGCTGAGGAGCTCGGACGCCGTGGGTGCCCTGAAGATTTTCGAGAAAAAAGGAGAAAGGCGGTAAAGGCGCCCTTGGCTCACAGGGCAGCAGGCTGCCCTACCGTGGTTGGGAACTGCGCTATGGACGTAGCTAGCTCTGCAGTAACCCCTGACTGAACTCGAAACGTCTTTACAAGAGTGAGTGCGCACCTCCCTTCATCAGTGAAACCAGAAATTCTATTGCTTTGCCATTTTTTTTCCCTTTTCAAAATCAAAGACGTCCCTGTGTAATACTGGCTGGTTATTTCCCCTTTTCTGTTGCTGTGTAGCATTCTCTCCCCTTCTCCTCCCCCTGGGTTGGTCTAACTTCCCATCCCCAAAGATGACTCTAGTCTCCTCCTCGTGTCCCACCTCCAAATCAAAGAGGAGGCAATTCAAAGGTCAAATGGTTCCAAAAAAGCATCTCTGTAGAGTTTATTATTTTAAAGAACCACTTAACCTACATCTGGTATTTAAGAGCAAACTTTACATATTTATGGAAAAAAAAAAAACTGTCTCTGAAGCAATGCCCTGGGTGCATGTTGCATCCGTTTAACATATGCAAAACGAACACAGCTACAGAAATTAAACTATTTTTCTCTTGATTGAGAACAGATATACAGAAATGGTTATAAGTCACAGATCTGGCTTTTAATAAAGCCAGATTTCTTAATTAAAAGCAGTATTGTTTAAACATTATAGTTTAAAAAAAGAGCTGTACAAACTGAAACCTCATATAATATGCATCCCCAGTGTATTTAGCACGTTACCTGAGGCCAAGCTAAATTAAAATCTAGATTTTCCTTTTGTTAAACTCTTAGCAACTGCCATGAATAGACAAACAATTTTTACTCAATGAGGAATTTTGAGGGTAGAGTCTAGGAAAAGCAAAAAAGGCAAAAAAAAAAAAAAAAAAAGATTTAGCTTTGGCATTCAAAAATATCTTTCCACGTTTTAGAAGTGAGTTCATTGCTTCTATTTATAAACCAGTATTTTTGGTTTCAAATTGGTTGCAGGTTTTCATAATATACAGCTCAGGATGGGACTCTTAATCTTTTAGTAAGAGAAATGGGAAGGAGGGCAGAGGAATACTTCTGAAGAAGACAACTTAAAGAGCCACAGAATAACCTGTGCTTATTTTGCATTCTCCTCTTGGAATCATCTTTAAATAAGAGGTGCTTAGGATAATGGAAAACAGACCCTCATACACACAACGTTTTGAGAGCCTGTAAGGAAAAAACAGGACACTAAGGTGTTTGCTGAAAAGACAGGCATTTGTAAAGAGCAGAATTACATAGCATCACTAATCACTATTCATGTTGTTCTTCACCCATTTGGTCACCTCATTAATTGTCATCACTTAACATTTCATTAGGGAGATTTGCTGAATCTTATAATCACCTGAAAAAGGGATGCACTCTCAAGTCCTTTCCAGAAGTAATGGGAAAAATTGAAATTTCAACTGCAATGTGGGCAAATCTGCTTAAACCTTACTCAAATACTTTTTCATAAATAGGGAGTGGTAACACTACAATATACTTAAATTCCATGGTCCCACATCATCTATTAAGACAGACACACCTTATATTTCTACCTCCCATGTGCACGCTAAGTTGTCTCAGTTGTATCTGACTCTCCGCGACCCTATGCACTGTAAACCACCATATTGAGAAGCAAAAGATATTGATTTGACTTCTTAAAACAAAAATAATAAATCCAACCAATTCACATGTGAAACCCAAGCAATGTAACATGAATGTTAAGTTGGGTCCTTTAGCTGAAGTCATCACAAAGAACTGAACATACCGGCAATGACCTAGCAATGGATCTCCTAGATTTATAAGTAAGTGAAATGAAACGATGTATCCACACAAAAAACTTGTACATGAATGTTCATGGGAGCATTATTCCTAATAGCAGAAGACTGGAAGTAACCCAAATATCCATCACTTGATGAATGGATAAATTTAATGTATATCTATACAATGGAATTTGAGGGGAATAATAATGAAAGATGTTCTGATAAATGACAAAACATACATAAACCTTGAAAGCACTATGCTAAGTGAAAAAAGCCCATCAGAAAGGACCACCACATACTGTGGGATTCCACTTTTACTCTAGAATAGGCAAATCTAGAGTCAGAAAGGAGATTATTAGTTGTCAGGGGCTGGGGAGGGAAGGGTGGAGAGGCAGCTAAATTACACTCGCTGATGGCACTGTCTTATGAATACATGGAGAATACAGTAAGTACACTGTAAAACTGAAATAGGTGAATTGTAGGTTAAATTTTATCTCAATAAAGCTGTTTATAAAAAGAAAAAGTTGCAGCAGTATTATCTGAGCTAGAAATTCTAATTCTGCATGTTAACTAGCATCCCAGAGTTTCATCCCATCCCTTACCATGAGTGAGTGTCTGTTGGCAGAGAGAAGACCGGTTCCATACCCTGAGGCCAGACCACCCATTGCTCCGTTGTGAGAGGGTCCGATGATTCCGTGCATGTCGCCGTGACCGCCAGGCATGGCTGTGGATGGGCCCACCGCGTGGTTCCGGAGAACGTGAATAGCGTCGTCCAGTCTTTCTAAACGATCTTCAATTCGGCTTTGCTGTTGGTTGATAAGTGATGTGAAATTTGATTTAGTTCCAAGTATGGATATAGATTAGAGAAGTAAAGCCTGAGTTGACACGAACCACACTTTGGGTTTCTGAATAAAATTTATTTTCCTTAAAATGATAATAAAAGTAAATGGTGACTTTCCCAGAAAACTGGTGAAAACTGTTAATATTATAATTTTATTTTTTGTGAACAAAGTCAGTAATTCTTCCGGGACATTCTAAGTATGTATGTTTTACTATACTGCATTACCTTGAAAGAACTGAGACTTACTTTAGCAAAGGAAAAAAAAAAACAAAAACAACATTTATTGAATTTAAGGAACATTCTGGCAGGCACTGGTTAAAGAGTTTTAAAAATTAACAATGGAAAGGTGCCTTATTTATAGTTTCCCAATTAAATTATCTTCTTGAAGGCGTATTTCCCGTGTTTCCTCTGAGTCACATGATACAGTGCTAAGTATCAAATCAGGGACAGGTAAACGCATATAGAGTGTAATTTCTTATTGAGTACTAACAATTTTTAACTGGGTTTCCTGCCTTCTATTGATTATTACGTGTGTGTGTGTGTGTGTGTGTGTGTGTGTAGTGTGTGTGTTAGAGGGTATCAGAACCTCAAAACTAAGTTAAAGAAGAAAACTGCAAAAATTCTGTCAATCAAAGTAGTAGATTTCAAGACTGAAGAATCATAAAGACATAAATGAATTGTTCACCAGGAGCTTCTAATTTATTTCCAAGTCCTTACAATACTATAGAACTCACTACTCTTATACAATGAAAAACCAACTGATCTTTTCATCCCAGCCATTAGGATCTGAGTTTTCCACAACTAGTTAAGCCTACATGATAGTTTTTGACGCATAAAGTGGACATGGAGACGTGTATTTTTTTTTAGTGTGACCAATAACGGTATCAAACAACCATCTCCAGGGTGCACTTGAAAAGATACCATCTTACTGAATCCTCATTCTACACATGCAAGCGAACAGGAAAGACATTATTATCCCTTCCAACACAGACATGCAAATGAGGCTCCAAGAAACTAAGTCAATTAACCGCTCAATGCCATACTGCCAGGAAATGGTAAACTCAGGGTTGCAACCTTAAGTCTTCAACTCTAGTGCCTCTTTGTAATAGATCAAGCTAGAATCCACTCTGATTTCTGATGGGCTGTGCCAGCAGAGATACGAGCTCTCCGGCATGAGGAAAACAATTTCTAAATTATTCTCTACTGACAGGAACAATGTATGCAGAATACAGTCAGTCTATGGTACAGAGCCTTCTGATTTGGTAGGCTTTGGTACTACGGGGCTTCCCTTAAACTCCCAGCCCTGCTGTTGAAGTGACCTTGGAAAGGTTACTGAACCTCTTTGAGTCTATGCTTCTTAGTCTATAAAAACAGAAATGATGAAATATACTTCTGAGTGTACGTGAGAGCATGAAAAGAAATAATCCACGTGCCTATCACTAGTTCTGATTTGCAGCTTCCTGGTGGAGACTGTTTTTGATGGGAATCCTCCCCGAGTGTTGAGAATTCAAACAGAACTGACACTGCAGTTCACAACCACGCTACGTGCATGCTAAGTCATTTCAGTCGTGTGCGACTCTTTGTGACCTTATGGACTGTGGCCCGCCAGGCTCCTCTGTCCATGGGACTCTCCAGGCAAGAATACTGGAGTGGGTCGCCATGCCCTCCTCCAGGGGATCTTCCAGACCCAGGGATCAAACCTGCGTCTCTCGTGTGTCCTGCACTGGCAGGCGGGTTCTCTACCAGTAACGCCCCCTGGGAAGGCCCTCACAAACATAAACCTAGTCTTTTTGGTTCTATAGTTGGAAAACACCCAGCTTTGGCAAGTCGGTCCCCGAGAATAACTGATGGAGAAAAACATTTGTAAGGACGATGGTTTATTTGCATGTGAGCTGCAGATTCATGGGGCTTAGATGGTGCTTGATTGTCTCACTCCGTGGTCATCTTATTGGCTAAAGAGAGGAGGCAGATGATTTACACACTGCCACTAGGAAGAACCCACCTCTGTACTCTCATTTTCAGATTTTTCTTCATTTAAATCATAAGCCAAAAGGAAGAAAGGAAACCCCAAATGGCTGACAACATAAAGTCAGATAGGCAAATTAACAGACATGCTCACCCCCACGTTCCATCTCAAAGTATGGGAAGAAAAAGGGGAAACTCAGCCCCGAAGGACAGCCTCTCGCTGCCACCCCTCCCCATGTGACTCATATACAGACCAGACGGTGCCTAGGGCTGTGCTGTTTCATGCATGTTTCCAGCCACTTCCTTTGAGTGGAGTGTCAAACACTGAATCATCGTGTGAGTTTTTATCATATTCATTACACCCTGGGGAAGTTTTCAGCGATTCCTTACAAGAGAAATTTAATGAAATCACTAGATTTCCATGAGAATCAAAGTGAACGAGGGGAAAAGCAGGAGGCTTCTCATTCAGAGGTCAAGAAGAAAATTCCTATAAACCCGTTATTCTGGAAAGCAAAGTAGAGACACAGAGACTCTCCAAGTGCTGGGGCTCCACAGTACAGTTGGGACTCCAGCACTCACCCCAGGAGAGGCATTTACCCACTGACACGCGTATCTCCCCAACAAGGGGGGCAGGCCATGATCCTTCCCAGATCCTTATCCCTTGTCTGGTTCCAGACAGGAGCCCCGAGGCTTCCACTGTAGCAGGAGCTGGGTTACAGTCTATAAGTGGGAATAAGCAGGCTAATAACCGCCTCTAACCAAACCTGCGGGCTTGCGTCAACCCCAAGGTCCTATTAGTGAAAATAAGCCTCTTGACGAGCGAACTGGGTGGAAAAAGAGAAGCATGGCCTGAGAATGGCCAAAGTGATGGTGAGCAGATGAAACTTACCAAAGAGTGTAAAGGTCCTTCATAATTAGGAGAGGATGAAGCCTGTCCTCCATTTCTAGACCAAACAGCTGTGCCTGCTGATAGGAAAATGGGAATTGCAATGAGATCTGTATAATCCTAAGAATAACCTTACCAACATTTTAAACAGTTCTTTTAGAAATTAGCATATTGATTTCTATCTGGACATTAAGGAAATACACGTAAACTGCCCATACAAGAATTTAGGGCCAAGGACAACATTTTAAATGTAAAATAGGTAGACTATACATGGACTCAGAACTCTCTCAGGCTTCCTCCTAAAAGGGAACATTTAATCAATTGTGAATTTTAGCTAGAAAAATGTCCCTTTGATGGAAAACCGTCACTACACAGTCAAGGTACTTTTAAGAGTGCAGAGAGGGGTTTTCATTACCCCTCCATGCAAAGCTGGTTTGTTAAAGCCAAAAATTTCTTACCAATGAAAAACAGCTTTGCTACTTGTTTTTAAATGATCCTTAAGAAAGGATAAGCCTTCAGAAACTTTTCAAGGAAATAAAGTTAGATGACAGCAATCTGCTAAACCAGAGATTTAAACACTCAATATAAGAACATTAAGTAGTATTTTCTGAAGAAAATACATTTTTAATGATTTGCTAAACTTGAAGGTAAAGAAAGATTGCTGCTATAATAAATAGAACATGTCTAACATATCAATTTTAAAATAAAAACCACTTTTAAATGGAAAATAATACACACTCGTGTAGAAAACTTGGAAAATAATTTAAGAAAGGAAAAAAAAAAAATCTACGACCTCACTGAAACATAGTCCCTGATACTGTTGGCACTTTAAAAACCCATTCTCCCTGCCATTTCTGGGTGTGCACATGTGTATTTTTATGCTAAATAAAAATAGAATGTTTTGTTCAATTACTTTCAGTGATAAATCTGGACAGAGCCCTTGGTGTAAAAATAGCAGTCTGTCCCCGTATCTGGATCTTCATCAAGTCCTCTCTCCCTAACGTGTGGTCTTTTAGGCTGATAACCAGGACCTCAAAGGTGGCCTTGTTTCAGGGTCTTCCACGTGCAGCACATTACTCAGGTTTGGGGTAATTGTGGCATTTTCTGGAACGATGTGTGCATCGTCGCTTCCCCTCCCAACTTTGACCTGGAAGTGGACTGGCAGAGCACTGAGTCCCTGATTCTAGCCTGAGCTCTGATATTACTACTGAAGATTTTCAGCAAATCCCATACCCTTTCTGGGCCTTCCATACATCCATCTGTAAATCAGAGCATCAGACTCAAACAGCTGTTTCTCAAACTTTATATTAGATTCCAGAATATTCTTTTCCCTCCATATTATAAAATAGACAAGATTAGAGTTGCTTCATTTGAAATGGGGAATGCGGGCGCTCTCGCTGCTCAGACTCCCTCACCCCGGCCCCACCGATCTCTGTATTGTCTCAGTCCATCTCTGACTGTGGAGGTTGACACCTGTGGTCGTTTTCCAGAGCCTAACAATGTGGCACGATGCCAGAAACGTACAATTCTGAACTGTGCCTCCCCGCCACGGGGACTGGTTCAGTGCTATCCCATTATCTTCTTAACGTCACCTCTGGTTTTCCCCAGTTTCAGCACTGTCTCTCTGGAGATATGGACTGGAAGGTCCAGCTATTACCCTCTCTCTTCTATGACCTCCTCCTGTCAATGGAGGCTGGGGAAAGGCTGATATTAAGTCTCCCTTAAGCCCATGGCCATCAACCCTGAAAGCTCTGTGGCCAGGTGAAATGTCCGATTCTTTATCAAGGAATTTACTTTACAGTGGGGCCCTGGGAGTGCTGCATGTAGGGAATAACACAGAGATTGAGGCAGCAACATTCAGGCAAGTGACTACAGTCTAAATTACGGGAAGACCAGGTTTCAATCAGGTACAGATATGATTTCATTTTTTTTTTTTTAAGAAGCCATCTCTCCTCCTTCAAAAGAGCAGAGATAGGCACCAGACAGGGTCTTTCTGGAAACACTTACATTGGAAGGGCAATGAGCCCTTTAAATGGAGCTCTGAAGAGTGCAACGCTTTACTAACACAATTTAACAACTTATAATTTTATTATCTGAAGCCATAGGTCATGTTAACTTGTTCTATTATAAACGGCAAACATTCCTCTTTTATTCCACACAGTTACATCACAATTTACTTATACAATTATAGTTTTCTTCAAACCTTCCAATAACATGGACTTTAAAGAGGGAATCTGAAAAGTCTGAAATTTCTGGGAGAAATGATCCTTTTGAATAGTCTATGTTTGGTGACTACATAACCTATATTCCTATTCCTGATCATGTCAACTGGTTTTCCCATTGAGATTTTTGTTGGAGTGTATTATTCTGTTGAGTATCTTTTGCAAAGAAAAGTTTAAGAAGTTAGTTTCCCAAGTGCCTGTGCATTCCAAAAGCATGAAACTTTTAAGAAAAGTTTTGGATGTAAATGGCTTCACCATCACACGGCCGTCTGTTTCTCCCACCCCTTCCTATTGGTCTGTTTGGAAACACTCTGTTTTGAGTTTTTGGAGGGAGTGAGTTTCTCCCAGCAGCACAGGAAGTGTAAGGGGAAAACCATTCTATAAGCTGACACTCAGATGCAGTGGATTTATGGTACCGTACCTGAGAGAGATGGAGGGGAGCCAACAGGAGTTGAAGGGTTTGATGAAAAGCTGTTGTTAGTGTGATCTGGAGAATAGATCTTGAAACAGTGGGGGTGGGGGGGAAAAACACAACAAATCCTCATTCATTGGGAATAAATATTCCACAATTTAAACTACAAAGCAAAAAAAAAAAAAAAAAAAACTACAAAGCATTAATGCTATTCATCCACAAATTCGAAGGTGCAAAAAATACACTTAACAATCAACTACAGTACTGATATTCTAAAATGAAAAACTTAATTGCTTTTTCAAAAGAAGAGCTCTTGAGTTGCTGGAAGATAGTGGGGGAAAAACTGAACTGGGGTCAACAGACCTTGGTTCTTGTCCATTTCTTCCCATTTCCTCCCCTGGCTGCATGGCCATGAAGCTACACGGATACACCAAACCTCCCTTTCTTCCTCCATAAAACAAGAGGTTGGACAGCATCACAGCCTAAGATTTTTGCTCAACTCCTTCTTCATTACGTTTAAGGTATTTGATTCCAAGGCAGGAGGATGCTCAGTCTAAAGAAAAGCTTCTCCTCAGCTCACAAGGCTAACATAAATCAAATGCATCTATGCCCCAGTGATAGGTAGAAACCAGCTGAAGAGACTGAACGTCAGAGCAACAAACCTCTGCTTGTATTTACAAGCGATCACGTTTAGCTTCTGAAGACGACACCAGGTGCAGCACTCCCTCAGACAAGGAAGGGGTGCCACTGGTGAACACGGAAGAAATGCTGGATCTTAGCTTCCTGGCAGTGGGCGGACAAAGCAGAGAAGCCAAGTGCCAATGAAGCAACAACTGAAACTCGGTTATGGTCATTTTTTAAAAATTTCTTTTTCAAAATGTTTTAGAATTACCCCTTGGCAAAGTCAGTCTTAGCTGATTAATCAATGAGCACCCAAAATGACTTTAGAGAAAAATAAAACATCAGGATAGAAGACCTATACTCTTAAAGGCTCTAAGAATATCCATGAATTCATAAATGAGTACCGCTTGCAAGATGGGAGAGACCAACTATCTGCTGGAATCTTGGGTGTTCTCTCTCCAATTTTTTCAATGATTATCATGGAAGGAAGCTAGCCTTTCCAAAAATCAAAGCTATTTGCCATCTATTTTCTTTCTTTTTTTTTTCCATTTATTTTTATTAGTTGGAGGCTAATTACTTTACATCATTGCAGTGGTTGTTGTCATACATTGACATGAATCAGCCATGGATTTACATGTATTCCCCATCCCGGTCCCCCCTCCCACCTCCCTCTCCACCCAATCCCTCTGGGTCTTCCCAGTGCACCAGGCCTGAGCACTTGTCTCATGCACCCAACCTGGGCTGGTGATCTGTTTCACCCTAGGTAATATACATGTTTTGATGCTATTCTCTTGAAACATCCCACCCTCGCCTTCTCCCAGAGTCCACAAGTCTGTTCTATACATCTGAGCTAAAATCCTAAATGTCCACTTCTGATTAAAGTTCACCCGTCTGCCGCGGTACATCTGAAGTCCAAGGTCAACATTTCCTCACCGAAGCAAGTGCTTTCCCCAAAGCATCGCCAGTCTGGGAGCTGCCTGCCGCCCCGCTTCCTCTATTTGCTGCAAAAACAAAAGGCAGAATATGAAAAGCCAGACGGTGAGACGTCGAACAATTTTCTATTCCTGGTCCATTTACTCACAATTTAATTGCACTTTTAATGCTAATTACAACACATTAATCTTTAATTAGCATTAATTTGTTTGCTGAGGTAGATGTCAAATATATTCATGTTACATTTTTTTTAAACAGATAAAATATAAACCTGACACCTTGGTTTAAAGATAAAGTGTTTCAGTTGCTATTACTTTTCCCCTGGTTGTCTACGAGTGGTTAAGTAGTCAAGAGAGTAGTAGGTGAGCATATGAGGTTCATTGCTAAAAAGTACGCAGTGCTTTCAGACCTCTGAAGCCCTCATAGTTTGCCTCTATTTACATATAGTAAGCTGAATTCATTTCACCAATAAGAATTACATGTGCTTTCAAATTAAAAAATTAATTTTTGCTATATATAGCAGTGAGATTACTTCTATCAGAGTTCCACAATAAACAAAACAAAAAAAATCTGTAATAGGCCTGGTGGTTTCCTAAGAGGGAAACTATTTTTAATATTTTAAGGAACATATAGTCTCCACACACTTTAAAGTCTGTGTTCATATTTAAAGAATTTGAACTCTGGTGCTGTTAAAAGTCAATATTGTCTCAAATTCTGGAGGTAAAATAAGTGTACATGATGATGAAGCAGTCTCTATTATCTAAATACCAGACAGATGAATAAAGGATACAGCTGGCCCTCTGTATCCACAGATTTCACATGCAAGGATTTAATCAAACTCGGATCAAAAATTTTCAGAAAAAAAATTCCATACCCTTCCAAAAAGCAAAACTTGAATTTGTTAGTGGTGGCAACTATTTACATAGACTTACATTGCCTTGAGTATTATAAATAATCTAGAGATCATTTAAAGTATTTGAGAAGATGAGCAAGGGTTATATGGGCTTCCCTGGTGGTGTCAGTGGTAAAGAATCCACCTGCAATGCAGGAGATGCAAGTTTGATCCCTGGGTCAGGAAGATTCCCTTGAGGAGGAAATGGCAACCAACTCTAGCATTCAAGCCTGGAAAATCCCATGGACAGAGGAGCCTGGTGGGCTACAGTCCATAGAATTGCAAAGAGTCAGACATGATTGACTCAAAGGATATATGCAAATACTGCACCCTTTTCTATAAGGGACTTGAGCATCCTCAAATTTAGGTTTCTGCAGGGGATCCTTGAAACATCCCCTTTGGCAGGATACTGGGGGAAGGCTGCCTGTTAATAAAAGGATATCGATTCAAAAATATAGTTCAAAATCAGCTCTAATAAACAAATTAAAAAAATTTTTAATTGAAGGATAATAGCTTTACAGTATTGATTCCTGCCATAGGTCAACAGGAATTAGCCATAGGTGTACATATGTCCCCTCCCTCCCACTTCTCACCCCTCTGGGTTGTTACAGAGCCCCACTTTAAGTTCTGTGCATCACACAGGAAATTACCACCGGCTATCTATTTTATGAATGGTAATGTATATGTTTCCACGCTACTCTTTCTATTCATCTCATCCTCTCCTTCCTCCCCGTTGCCCTTGTCCATAGTCTGTTCTCTATCTTTTGAGAGTAATTTGCCTTTATAAAATGGTACAGCCAGTGGTGTTCTTCTCTTAGATTTATTAAGGACTCAGCATGAGCGAGGAGATGTAATATTTAAATAAAACCTATTAAACTCTAGGGGAAAGTGCTTGTCACTCTTTTGTGAAATAAGAAAAGGAAATACTAAATCAACGGATTAATTCAAGAAAAACTTCATTACACATTTAAAGTTTTTAAAAAATTCCCAGCCCTATCCTCAACCCAAGAAAGCACTCTTTCTGGCAGATGTGTCATCTTCAGTTTCCAGATCTGTAAAATAAAGTCATGGGATCAGCTCTCAAGTGGTCAAATTATCTTTGTCTCTAGGTTATAATTTCATCCTCCTGACCTCTGCTTAGTATAGTTAAATTATGCTTGTTATTTTTATATATTTACATGTTGGGTATGACAGTCCGATCTTTTGATGTTTGCTTTATTTGGTTAACAAAACTCACCCCTACATTCATTTGTTAATTACTAAAACTGAAAGAAAGCTGTATGTAATGAAAAGAACACAACTGCCTTCTGACAAAAAAATGGAAAAACTATTCTTTCTCACATCACAAATTCATAATGTTAAAAATATATTAGTTGTTAGTACTAAGGATTTTATGCATAAGAAAGTTCTCTGAAATGAGGGTACAACATCATACAATGAACTAGTGGAAGGAACACACAGATATCAAGAGTACTAAAAATATTCAATATAAAGAGATAATTGAAATTATTATCTGGTGTGAAAGTAAAAATTTCTGCATCAAGGAGTTCTTTTAAAACTGAAGACAATTCTAAAGGAAAATAACAAGGATTCTGAAAACACAAAGAGCACTGAGATGTTATAGCATGTATTGCCATGGTATTTGGAGATAATTATACATACATTTTTTTCTTCCCCTCCAGAAGCAATATTATCATTATTCTTAAAATTAGGTTTATCAGTCAAAATAATTTGGATATCTGCTCGACTAGAAAACAGACCTTCATGAAATGAAAATTCAGAGCCACATCAGAAAAAATTACATTATCTAACAAAGAAACTAAACCCAACTAGGATAAGATATTTTTATAATTATAGATAAAATTTGCTACGGTAGCTTTCAAAAGATTAATTCTTTGAACAGTTTTAAAATGAGAATAATAAGGGTTTTAAAATATATTAATGAAACCAAATTAGGAAGAATTGAAAACCAATAAAAGTATTTTAGAGATATGTAAAAAAGAAATTATACTCTCAATATATCCTATCTCCCCCCCAACTTTCCCTCTCTGGTAACCATAAATTCATTCTCCAAATCTGTGAGTCTGTTTCTGTTTTGTAAATAAGTTCATTGTTCATTTGTATCTTTTTTCCCCTTAAAGATTGACAAGTACACACTGTCTATATTTAAAATAGATAACCAACAAGGACCTATTGTAAAAAAAAAAAAAAAGAATATGCCTAAATCAAAAAATAAATTATGATGACATAAAAATCATACTTTAGAAGAGACAAGATAAAATCTTTATGATCTTTTCATACTAAACACCTTTCTAACTGAACTTTCTATTAGTCCTTGTTTTACACAAGGAGGCAAGAGAACTTGTTTATAATTATAGATAAAATTTGCTACGGTAGCTTTCAAAAGATTAATTCTTTGAACAGTTTTAAAATGAGAATAATAAGGGTTTTAAAATATATTAATGAAACCAAATTAGGAAGAATTGAAAACCAATAAAAGTATTTTAGAGATATGTAAAAAAGAAATTATACTCTCAATATATCCTATCTCCCCCCCAACTTTCCCTCTCTGGTAACCATAAATTCATTCTCCAAATCTGTGAGTCTGTTTCTGTTTTGTAAATAAGTTCATTGTTCATTTGTATCTTTTTTCCCCTTAAAGATTGACAAGTACACACTGTCTATATTTAAAATAGATAACCAACAAGGACCTATTGTAAAAAAAAAAAAAAAGAATATGCCTAAATCAAAAAATAAATTATGATGACATAAAAATCATACTTTAGAAGAGACAAGATAAAATCTTTATGATCTTTTCATACTAAACACCTTTCTAACTGAACTTTCTATTAGTCCTTGTTTTACACAAGGAGGCAGGAGAACTTGGGGGTATAATAAAAAGACAGAATTTAACTCCTTACCTCATACTGTCACGAAAGTGTTTCAGAAAACTACAAAGGCTACTCGTGGAAGTTACTGATAAGAACAGACTTTTTTTTTTTTTTTTAATATAGAGCCATTCTACCTGCTACAGCTGGAGAATCAACCCCAGGGTTCAAATTTCAAAGCAGTTTATTGGGACCAGTTTGCCCTTACACTTGGAATGCCTTTTGTTCTGTTCCAGGAAACACTGGAGAAGACACATTTTCAAGAGACCTTACACATGTTAAGCTATATGGATCCTCTTCCTAAAGACTCTGTTTTTAGTTATGTGCCTGATATGTCAAAGGGCATACGTAATCAGAAAGTAAATATACATTTAATACTCAAATAGCAAAATTTCTTCTATATTGAGTAATGAGTCACGTTTAGCAAATCACACTTCTCATTAAATGTGTGTACATCAAATCTACTTTTCTATCGTTCATGTAACAGGACTTGATTACTATTCTAAGCCTGAGTGTTTGTCAAGGTATTATGAGAAATTAACAAAATGCCTACAGAACAGAATTAAAGAGAAGAACTACTGTCCCTGTTTGATAAAAAACTGGATGGATCTCTTATGTGATTTTAGCTCTTAGCAATTTCCCTAGCTAAAGAGAGAAAAAAAAAATCAAGTCTCTAAGTAGAGCTGTATCATGAATATGATTGAAGATGAGTAGTATTAAGAGGAACTGTAATTTGGTAGGAGGATTCGACACTGCCAACCACCCAAGCATTGTTCAGATGGCTTGAACACAGGTGCTACTGCTGGCTAGAAGATGGGGCAGAAAGCAGGGTTTAGTCTTTTCAGCTACAAGTGGGACCACCCTCAGTCTCGATCTCCACTTTGGAGAAAATGGCAATGCCTGTTAGAACACACCCTGATCCAAACATCAGGATAAGTGGTACCTGGGGACTGACTACTGAAAAACCTGGGAGATTTGGAGGATGTGTTACCCCTTTATTGCACACCCAGAACCCCAGGCTGGGTCACCCTGAAGCTATAGAAGGATCTATGTGCTCAGCTGTTCAGCTGTGTCTGGCTCTTTGCAGCCCACCAGGCTCCTCTGTCCATGGGATTTTTCTGGCAAGAACACTGGAGTGGATTGCCATTTCCTCCTCCAGGGGATCTTCCTGATTCAGGGATCAGGGATCAAACTCCTGTGTCTCCTGCATTGGTAGGCAGATTCTTTATCACTGAGCCAAGGGTTAGAGCTATAAAAAGATGAAGAAGTGTAATCCATAGTGTCTGCT